TCCTCCCTCCACCTCGCTCACCCCCTCCTCCCGCACTTTCTCCTGCTCGCTCCCTCCCGGCGCACGCAGCCGGACTCCGCGCTCTCCTCGCTGGCCGCCCCGGGAAGCGCCGGCCGCCGCCGCCCAGCCTGCACCCGCCGTGCCCCCAGTGCCGGGCACCTGTTGGACTCACGGAGACAGGTGCAGGGGGCTGGGCCATCGGGGGCTTGAGGGTGAGGGTGAGAGTGTTTGTCAGCCTGTGCCTGCGGGGGTGTTCGGCTCTCTAGTGGCTGCAATTTCTGGCTTTCTGGGGAGCCGGGCTGATGGGGAGGCATTCTGAGGCAGGGGTCTCCACCTTGACTGGCGGGAGCAAGCAGGCAGGCAGATCCTGGGGGTGAAAGGAGGACTACGAACCCCAAAAGTCTGGAGGTGTGGGCCTGGTGCAGAGGGAGGGACAGACGAAGGTGCCTATGGGGCCGGCTCAGCGAGGGGGCAGCGCCCGGGAGCTGATAGGAGGCCAGAATGAGGGGCAGAAGCCGGAAGATGGACACAGGGAAAATTTCAAAGTAAGTGGGCAAGACGGAGGTGGAGCCAGTGCCTCTCCTGGAGGGAATGGGCAGGTAGTCTGAGGACTGGGGTCTGGCCGGCCCAGGCTTCTGGCCTGCCCACCCGCTGGCACAGGCCACCCTCTCCCTTGACACACACGAAGGGAACCTAGTGCAGGGCCCTGAGGTCGCCAGGGTTGCTGCAGGACCCCTTGGCCAGCAGATGGCAGGTTCAGGTACGGGAAAGCCGTCTTGGGCTCATCCTCTGTCCCTGTCCTCCAGCCAGGGGTGCTACATGAGGGGCCGCAGGGGCGACCGCATGACCATCAATATCCAGGAGCACATGGCCATCAACGTGTGCCCAGGGCCCATCCGGCCCATCCGCCAGATCTCGGACTACTTTCCCCGCCGGGGAACAGGACCCGAAGGGGGTGGTGGTGGCTATGGGGAGGGTCCTGCTGGTCTGGCCCCCCTGGCCCTGGCCCCCCCTGTGGCCCTTCTCGGGGCCACCACTCCCGAGGATGTTGCGGAGGTGGACAGCTATGACTCCGATGATAGCAGTGAGTCTGGGGGAATAAAGGGCCCAGGGGGGGCTTAATGGGGCCTTCCAGGATGTGGGGAAGGGACACTGGGCCTGGTGGGGTGCAAGTAAGGAGAATGGGGGAGGCCAGGGAAGGCAGGTGGCGGGCGCTACCCCCACAGCTGCAGTCAATGTGGAGATTACTGGCTCAGCGAGACTCAATATTAAATATTTCTGCTGAGATGCTCAGCCACCCACACAGCCCCGGTTGTGGTCGAGCTGGGGACCCAGACAGACGCACATTCATGCCAGTAACTTTCTTGCACACAGCTCCTAGACTGCAGAGCCGGGAGCACCCTTCACGGCTGACACAATTCCCCCTGGTTTGCCTCACGCACCTGTTTGCGCACTGATTGGCCTCTCTCTCCTGCTTCCCCAGCCTCCTTGGGCACGTTGGAGTTTGACCTTCTGTATGACCAGGACTCTTGCATGCTGCACTGTAGTATCCTCAGGGCCAAGGTGGGCACCCCCTGCCCCCTAAGCCCCAGGAAAGGTGGGTTTGCCATCTTTCCTTCCCTTCCCCAGGCCTGCCCTTGCTCTTATCTTTCACCTGTATCATGAGGCTTTTTCACACACACCTCAAGGATCTGGTAGCGTGGAGGGTGGGAGAGCTGGCACCCATAGTCCTCTGTGCCCCCCTCCTCCTCAGGGCCTCAAGCCCATGGATTTTAATGGCTTGGCTGACCCCTACGTCAAGCTGCACCTGTTGCCTGGAGCCTGCAAGGTAAGGGTCCCCCCTCCCCTGGCCTCCACGACCCCATCTCCTGCCTTCGGCCCCTGCGCTTCTGGATTTCTGTGCATGGATTTAGAATGCATCATCCCACACCCCAGGCCAATAAGCTCAAAACTAAGACTCAGAGGAACACGCTGAACCCCGTGTGGAACGAGGACCTGACTTATAGCGGCATCACGGACGACGACATCACCCACAAGGTGCTCAGGTGAGGGCTCTGTTTCCCCAGCTGTCCCGGCAGCTGACACCCTAACTCTTAGTGGCTTACCACCTGCCTCCCCTTCAGCGCCTATTTCTGTCTTTTAAGAACATTCGATGACTTCCATTCCCTTTGGCATCAGGGAATGGAAGCCATCGAATGTTCGTTCTCTAGCACAGGGCTTCCCCCTCTCCACCTGGTGGGTAGCCTTACCTCCGACCTCTGACCTCTGAGCCTCCCCTCAACCCAACCGCTACTCTCCCTGGCAGCCTGCTGCCCGACTTCCAGTCATCATGTGAAGTGAATTTCAGGCTCAGCTAGCTGCCTCAGTTTTCTCTGGTCACTGGGACCCCTCCTCCCAATCCCCACCTCTGTAGCTACTCCCTGAGGTTTCCGGGAATCTTGAAGGAATCTAGTCTGCAGGGCAGAGGATGACTCTTGTCATGCCAGGGAGCTGGAGCCGCAGCGGGAAGGATGGGGGTTGGTTGGGGGGCATTTTCTCAGGCCAGCGAAGGCAGCTGAACCCTTCGTTAGGCCGTGATATCACTTTGTGCAGGAGGGAGTCACAGAAGGGTTTGTAGCAGAGCAGGGACCTGGTCAGCGCTGGTTTTGGAGATCTTGGAGGTGGTCGGGAGGAGTGGAGGTCGACTAGGAGGACTAGCAGAGGCTGGGAAGGCTGGCACCAGATTCTACAAGTGTGTGAGTGAGGCCTGAAAACGAACGCTGCTCCCTGGTGCTCAGCTGGGCCAAGCACTTTTATATTAGCGTTGCTTGCTCCTCAAGTAAGACCCCAGAACCTTAACCTCATCGCTGCTGAGTCAGACCTGACTCCTTGCTGACCCTCTGTTGGGTTTCTGAAGCTGTAAATCACCCAGGGTTGCGGGGGGAGATTGCCCATCTTTCTCTCAAGGAGTTGCTGATGGGTGAAACAGCCAGAGAGGTAGCTGGTTAGCAGTACAACTGTCAGGCCACTTCTCTCATATAGGTCTGTCGTTGTCATGTGTCAGAACCAATTCATAGCTGACCCTTGTGCACAGGAGTTTGCCCATCTTTATGCTCAGAGCAGCTGGGGAAGTTGAACTGCCTGCCTTTGGGTTGAGAGCGCAACTCTTTAAGCCACTAGGCCACCAGAGCTCCCTAAGATAGCTTCCTTGCTGTTATGTGCTATGGAGTCAGAACCAAGTCATAACTGACCTTCCATGGGTTTTCTAGAGGTGGTAAATTGCACTGGAAGCAAATGCCCATCTTTTTTCCATGGAGCAGCTGGTGGATTCAAACCACGGACCTTTGCATTGGCAGCACAGTTCCTAACCACTTAGCCACTGGAGCTGCCTTCAAATACCTTCGTTTTAAGCGCTGTTGACTACGACTCAAAGCAACCCTATGAATAAGAGATCTGACCCCTGTCCTGGCCCTGTCCTGTGCCATCATCATCTCTGACACACTCAAGCCCACCGTCAGTCACTGTGTCAATCCATCTTGTTGAGGGTCTGTCTTTCGCTGACCCTCCACTTTTCTGAGCGTGATGTCCTTTTCTAAGGTCTGGCCCCTCTTAATAATGTAGCCAAAGTGCGTGAGACAAAGTTTCACTATCCTTGCCTCCAGGGAGCACCCTGTCTGCACCTTTTTGAAGACGTACTTGTCTGTCCTTTCAGCAACCCAGGGCATATTGAAATAGCTTTAGGAGATGGGCCTTGCAGGCCAGGTGAAGTGACTTTTAGCACAGGGATTTGTCCAGGGTCACACAGGTGCAGCTGGGATTTGGCTGTTTGCCTATGTCACACAGCTTCTCAATGGAGCGGTCACCATGGAAGGTAGTTTATGAGGCTGCGGAAGGGGACAGATAGAAGAAATACTTTCCCTCGGGGCTCCTGGTCTCCTCTGGGCTGGAACCAGGGAGAGGACAGGGATGCGGGAGAACAAGGTCTTTCTCCTAAACATCTGTGACCCTTGGCTAAGGTTCACAGCCTGTCAAGCTTCCCTAGCTCTGAACTGAGGGCGTGAGGTGGGCGGTCCTCAGGGTGTGAGGGTTTCCTGGAGTAGCTGAGCTGGGCTGATGCACAGCCTTAAGCGAGGCCCTGAGGATGGAGGAAATAGTTTTTCACTCAAGCTGCAGCGCTTGTGTGGTAACCCATTTTTTCTGCTGAGATGCGAATCGGGTGTAGGGCAGAGCTGGGTTGCCTTTGGGTCCTCAGACCTTTCTCCCCGCACTGGAGCAGGGCTCGGGGAGCCCAGGGACCCTGACCCTGCAGTTCCCTGCCAGGATCTCCGTCTGCGATGAGGACAAGCTAAGCCACAATGAGTTCATCGGGGAGATCCGGGTGCCACTCCGCCGCCTCAAGCCTTCCCAGAAGAAGCACTTTAACATCTGCCTTGAGCGCCAGGTCCCGGTCTGTGGGGAGGGCGGCTGACAGGGTGCCAGGGGGTTGGGGGCGCCGGAGAGGCTGTGTCCAGAACCTTCTCTTTGTCTTCAGTTGGCCTCCCCCTCTTCCATGTCGGCAGCACTGAGAGGCATCTCCTGTTACCTGAAGGAGGTGAGGCACCGGGGAGACCACACATGGTGGGAGTGGGTGGCGGAGGGCTTGGCTGACCCCTGTCCTGTCCCTGTAGCTGGAGCAGCTGGAGCAGAGCTCAGGGCTGCTGGAGGAGCGTGGACGCATCCTGCTGAGCCTCAGCTACAGCTCCTGTCGCCGGGGGCTGCTAGTGGGCATCGTGCGCTGTGCCCACCTGGCCGCTATGGACGTCAACGGTTACTCGGACCCCTATGTCAAGACGTGAGCCCTTGCTCTGCCCTGTGGCCCGCCCGGCCCTCCTGGGCAGCCTGCTCCTTTCCTGACAGCTGGGCCTTCCCTCCCTCCCCACCTGTTAGGTACCTGAGGCCAGACGTGGACAAGAAGTCCAAGCATAAGACATGTGTGAAGAAGAAGACCCTAAATCCAGAGTTTAATGAGGTGAACGAGGCAGGGGCCACAAGTAGGGTGGGTGGGGAGAGGGTTCAGGGCCTCGTCAACAGTGTCACACCCTGTCCCCAGGAGTTCTTCTATGAGATTGGGCTCTCAGCGCTGGCTGCCAAGACCCTGGAGGTCACGGTGTGGGACTATGACATCGGCAAATCCAACGACTTCATTGGTGAGGGGAGGAGACCAGCTAGTGGGGCGCTGGAAGAGGGCCAACCACCAGAGATGGGCCCTGATTTTACCTGCTTCTACCTGCTCCCCAGGTGGTGTGTCCCTGGGGCCAGGTGCCCGCGGGGAGGCCCAGAAACACTGGGGTGACTGCCTGCAGCAGCCAGATAGAGTCCTGGAGCGCTGGCACACCCTGACCAGTGAGCTGCCCCCAGCGGCTGGAGCCCTGACCTCAGTCTGAGTGCAGTGGCGCCTCCTGGCATTCGGCCAGGCTTCCTGGCATAGCCCAGGGCGGAGGGCTGTGCTGAGCGCCCGACCTTCGCACGAGTGTGTTGCACGTTTACACGGGGTGGGGCTTCCCCCGCCCTGCACTTCCTGTCTTATTTTGTGAGTGTCTGTGGCCTGTGGGTCTGTCCCCCTGTGAGGGACTGTGGAGATCTGTATTCACATATGCAAACTTCCCCCTGCCTGACTCGCTATGATATGCAAACCACTTGCCCTCCTCGCCCGCTGAGGGACGCCAGTGGCCACCCCAACCCAAGGCCCATCGCCTGCTGCCTGCTCCTCCCTCTGGCCTCCCAGGCTGCCTGTCCCCTCTCTACAGGGAGGTGGTCAGATTGGGGGGGCCTGGAGGAGGTAGAAGTTTCAAAAAATGGAAAAGAGGGGGAAAGAAACAACACAAAACCCGAAAAAAAAAAAAAGCAAGCCCTTTAATAGTCTTTGTTAAAAATCCTTTGCCCTGGAAGCTGCCCTCTTACACTGGTGGCCCCTCAGGGTTTCTGCCCACCTGCGAGGTGGCAGATACTCCCAGGCCACTTGTTTAAATAAATACCTGTCCCCTGAAGGTGGGTGTGAGGACAGGGCCCTCTCCCTGCTGAGGGCCTGCCTTCCCGGGGACACCTTGCATGTTTACACCTTTTCTGACTGTGTCAGTGGCCAAAGCATGGCAACTGGGCATCAATAAACGTCTCTGAGGAAGCTGGGGCTTGCAGTGTTGTACGTGGTAGGGGGTGCCGGGTCACTCCGGGATGTCAATCACCAGGTCATCGTCCCCGTCCAGCGCGTCGTCCCCGCTGCCTGCATCGCTGAACATCTGCCGAGGGACGGTGCTCAGGATCGTGTGTGGGGGCATCTTAGGAGGGGGCAGTGGGGCCAGGGCTGCCCCCACCCCAGCCCCAGCCCCTCGACCTGGAAAGGTCAGCGGCCCTCCCACAGGGCAGTCAGGGGGTCCCACCGCCATCTGCAGCAAGGGGAGGAAAACACAGAAGGCTTGTCATGGGGGGATCTGGGACTCCTGGAGGAGGGGGGCTGGGCACTGCCCTCTAAAGCAGTTCACGGGAACAGGGAAGGGGCAGTGGGCGCACCCTGGCGGCTGCTGCTGGACTCAGGGCCTATTCCTACCTTCGCCCCTTCAGTGCCCCCAGCCAGCAAGTGAGGAGTGGAGATGGAAGTGTTGGTGGTTGATGAGGGTGAGAGGTCTCACAGGAAACCAGGAGGGAAAGGGTGGCCCCGAACCCCCCCCTGCAATAGCACAAAGTCAGCCTGGGTGCCAGCCGTCCTGCCAGGACCCTCAGACACCACCTGCCACCACAATCCCTGGCCCGTCTCCTCCTGCCTGGCTCGGTGGAGGGTATCACAGGCTGCCCAAGCCCCCCCAAGCCCTCCTCCTGAGGCCTCTACTTCTCACAGCTCAAGGGGGGCCCCTCCTCGGGATCCCCGCCGCCACTGGCCGCGGCCAGCTACTTCTCTCAGCTCACCTGGGCTACGGTACCAGGTACCAGTCTCCTAACTGGATTCCCTGCCTTCAGCCTCTCCCAGCTCCAGCTCCTCCTCCACACTGCAGCCAGAGGGATCTCTCTAAAACACAAACCTAGCGTGTCAGTCCTCCTTAGGGCCCTGCAGCTGCTCAGGACCAGCAGGCCCTCCACGTGGCAGGTCCCTGCCTAGTTGTCAGACTCCTGCTTTATCCTCTGAGGCTGGCGAGTGGCCTCTGTCCTGCCCCCGCCAGGTCAGGCCGAAGCCTCCCTGTCAAGCACGCAAAATACAGTGCTCATGGCATCTGCTACATGCCAGCTGATACCCAGCAACAGCCTGGGCTCCTCGTGCCCACCCTGGAGGGAGGAGAGACGATGGGACAGAGGAGGGAACAGGTCTTAGTGTTAAAGAGCCGGCCTGCTGGGGGGACTGGGCCCTGTGCAGGCAGAGGCAGGAAACACGTGGGTGTGGTCTTCACATACCTGTCCTTTATTGTCTACTTTCTGTGTCTCAAGGAGCCCCCACGTCACTGCTGTTCCTGGGCTGGGCTGGGCTGGGGTCAGCATGGACTTTTCTGAGTTCTCAGGAGCCTGCCCGAGGCCCGCCTCTGAATGGTCCCCCTCATTCACAGGCACAAGGGACCAGACACACGAGTGGAAAGCACAGCTCCCCAGGACTGTCCCCTCTGCTGGCCCCCCACTACTCTCCAGCTCTCTCCAGCTGCCTCTACTCAATGGCCTCCTTGAAGGGCTTCTGCATGGCCAGCAGTTAACAGCCGCGGCCACCTAGGTCTGTCCAAGGCCCAAGTTGCAAGCCAGATGCTCAATCTTCACAGCGCTCCTTTCTCTGCTCAGTCCTGCTCACCGCTTTACACCAGATCCCTTAGGACCCGCCCAGGCTCCCTGTGTGTGC